GATTGAACTCAGACCCTTGCACTTCCCAGGGAAGCACTTATTCCACTGAGCCATCTCCCCGGCCCCTGAACACACATTGTGTAAAATTTGAAAAAAAAAAAAAAAAAAAAAGAGTACCATCATAAAATTAGAATGGCATTATGACAAACACAGTGAACAATTAATAGGGGTACAGCTGCAATCAGTGACCATAAGCACCTCTCTCTAGATGCACAATGTGCATTTCTATTCCTGTCTTATATAGACAATGAAACACATGTACACAGTAATTGCTTTCTTCTTTCACAAGTCCCCCATCCTCCTCTTTTATTATTCTCACTTCAAGTACAGGATCTTATGTATATGCAGTTTTCTCCGTCACATCCAGAATTCTTCTTTTTGAGAAGTTGAGTTTCCACCCATCTTCTTTCCACTTCCTTTGCTTGAGCCTGTAGTTCCACTCACTGGCTCAGGCCTTGGGTTCTGGTGGAGTTGGAGCTCTGTGGATGCTTGATCCCGGTCCCGGTCCCAGTCCCAGTCTCGGTCCCTGTCTCCTTTCCTCCTCTGCTTTTGCTTTTGAGCTCCATCTAGCTCTCTCTTTCTGTCTCTGATCCCTCCCCAAGAAATCCCCACCTTTCCTTAAATGGAAGAACACACACCTCTATTCAGCCTTTATCCCACCCTCAGTGACTTCAACTACCCAGAGACCAGGAACCAAAAACTTCAAGAGAAATATTTTGTTTTGGGCAGTAAACACTACTTTCAGAGAAACCTGGAAAAAACCTTCCTTTCCTCCTTCTATACTGTGAAATGAACAGAAATAACATTAGAAGAAAGTAATTTGTACTACTTCACATTTCCCTTACTGAGTCAAGTTGCTGCCAGAATTTTAAGGGCAGCATAGATGAGTAAGAAAATCACAGTAGAGTCCATAGCTTTATAGAATGACCTTAAAATTTAAGAAAATTTTATTTATACTAAATTCTGAAATGAGAAAAAAAAGCTTGATTCATAAACTCATGGAATTTTAGGCTTTGTTCTAGTTATAATGACTATATCTTTTAGGCTTTGTTCTAGTTACAATGACTAAGATACAGTCATAAATACAGTCACAAATATTTCTCTTCAAAATGTGCGAACAATCATTTATTCTATTTGAACATGTTGTTGGTCTAGACTTAGAATGGCATCCAGTATGAGTTTTTTATTTTGGGTATGAGTCATCTAAAGAGTGCACACTTAGGGATTTGTTGCTTGAGGTTATAGAGTTAATTCCTCTGCATGTGAGCCTCTGTATGTCAGTAGTTTGGCACATTCTCACAGTGTGATGTCTGGACCCCCAAGGCAGGCATCTGAAAGAGTGAAAGCAGGGATATTTGGTTACCTTTTATTACCTGTCTGTAGAAGTCATGTACTGCTGAAGTCTCACAATATTCTTTTTTTCCTTTTTCTCACAATATCCTGTTGAGATTTAAGTGGAGAGAAATAATTCTAGTGCTTTTTTCCCCCCCTAGTGCTTAATAGAGAGGGGCATTATATTAGAAGAGCATAAAATACTGCTCCGGAAATACCACTGTGGAAAGAGGCCTCATCTTACTAATAATAAGGACATGAGGATGAGAAGAGGAATACATCATGGGCACAGTTATATTCCATTTTATGGCCAGGTTGGGGCTAGAATTTAGTTTTCTAGTCTCTGGGCTTGGGTCTTTCCGACTCTACCTCTCTGCTCCCACTTCCTTTTATTTTATTTTATTTTTAATAGACTGCAAATTAAAAATAAATTATTTAGAAACATAAATGAATATAACAATAAAACTGTCCAAAATAAAAATGAAGAATTTACAGATCAGTCATAATAGTTCACTGTGTCAAAACCAAGAAACTTATATTCATACAATCAGAATTCTCAAAGTAGAAAGGAGTAGGCAATAAATATTTAAAGATTTAAAATTTCTGAATTTAGTTCAACTTATAATACCACATTTCCAAGAAAAATGAACCTTTTG